TTTTTTGGTTTGTGGGAGGAAACTGGAGTACCCGGAGAAAATCCACACATGCACGGAGAGAACATGCAAACTCCACCCAGAAAGGCCCCCGGTCGGTATTTGATTTGGCGACCTTTTCCCTGAGAGGCAACAGCTCTACCAACTGAGTCACTGTGCCACCCTTCCTGTAAGTACCATCGTACTTAACTTGTAAATACTCTGCAATAGGCCTTTGTGTATAAGCATCCTGCAAGTACCCTGTATGTACCCTGCATGAACACAGTTTGTACCCTATCTTGTAATCTAAGTATCCTGTAAACCCAGTGATTGCCCTGCATGTAGCCCTGTAATTTACCTTGTAAGTATCCTGTTTATACCCCTAAATGTACTATGTATGTACCTCTCTGTATCACATAAGTACTTGTAAGCTGCCTGTTTGTCACCATTTTGTATTCTCACGTGAGACTATGTCAAGTTTCTAACCAAAAAGTCTTCAAACAAAAAGATCTAAAAAAATCGATTTTATTAGATTTTAAAATGTTTCAGCCCAGAATGCTGGATTTAATCATGTTGGGACTGTACTTTTTGAAAATGCATACAAGTTTCTGAAATGTGATCAATAAATTTTAGAAGACTTTATTGTCCTTACTTTATTTGGTAAAAGTTTAAGTCCACAACAGCAGAATTAAAAAAGGAATTAATGTTTCCTGACATTTTTCTTAATGGAGGTGGGGGGTGGTTGGATAAAGTTATGAATTTTTGTTCACTTGATGTTGAATACATGTAAAGCCTGATAATTATTCTCTTTATGCCCTGACAGGTAAAAGCCTAGAATTGAAAGAGGTGGACTTTATTGTTTTTAATTTTTTGATTCAATAATATGCAGTCATCGTTTCACCACAAACATGTGACCCAAACTAAAGCCCGTGCTGTAAAAGTGAAGCACGTGAGGATTTACAGGGTGACAGAGTACACAATGACCTGTTTATGACACGTCATTCACACTTTTAATATTAAACTGACTGTTGTAGGAATTAAAAAACTCCAGTTGTGTGCTGGGTAATGACACTGCCTTTCCAGGTGGTCAGGACCGGGCTGCACACGTCCAGTTTTTAGGATGTTTATCTGGCAGAAAAATAAACCCAGATGAGCTCATACAGGAACAACAGAATGATCCCAGAGGAGGAAGAATAAACAGAAACTGTGCTTTCACATTAACAAACAAACAAAACCAGAATTTAATTTAGATGGTATAAAGTTGTGTCCTTTAAGTGTGGATACAATTTATTTAGCTTTTACATGTGGGCCACTTCCACCCCCTTATGGTCACAAGGTTGATGTGCACTTTTTGATATTTATGATTATTTCAAAGGATTTATTTAAGAAAACTGGAGAGTTGGCAGCTGATGGTATTGTTTTAACTTAGTTTATTTTGTTGTTGTGTCATTTATGTGATTTTAAAATGAGATTTTGTGTGTGGAGGGGGGTTATCTGGGAAAGTACTTTATAAATACTTTTAAATTCACTTTTTTGTGTAAACAAATAACATTTCACTTAATCCTGTCACTCTATTTCTTTTGTTGCCACAAACAAACAAACACACAAAACAAACAGAGACGGAATTAACGACATTAGAAGGTTTAGTATGACACTTTTTATTCAAACTTAAAAAGAGAGTGGATCAAAAACAAGGTTCAATAAATAAGAAATAAATATAATAGCTGTAATAATCATTAGATACATTATAATTACTCGATTGCAAGAGTCTGACAGAAACAGGCTCTGAAACAGTTCATTTTTTTCCTAAAAAATTCTAAAACCAAAATATTGCACCCCACTCGAATCTCCCCTCATAAAGAAAAATAATTAAGTAAATAAATATCAGTATTAGTAAATAAATAAATAAAAAATAGCTCAAATATTAAAACCACCCGAGTAAAAGTGCAGCTCCCCCCCTCCCCCGTGTTTCACCTAAAATCTAAGTAGAAATTTAAAAATAGGTTTGTGATTTCCCTTTTTACAATTTGGAATGTAATGATGTCACTAGTGGTAGTAATAATAATAAGAATAATAATGATAATAATAATAATAATAGTTATGTTGCTGTGTTCTGTTCAGTGTTTTATCTAAAGTAGTATTCTTTTTGCATTTTTTTTCTTGTTTTTAAATGCTGCTCTTTGTAAACTAAACTATATACAGGTCATCAGGATAGTCTCCAAAGTCTTTCTAACCTATCTATTTAGTCCTTTTTTCCTTAATTTTCTCTCCCTTTTCATTATGAAACATCGGTCCCTCTATATTTTTGTCATGTAATAGACACGGTATAGAAATGTAAAAGTCTGTTGACGTGATGTATCATAAGTTTCCATCGGTGCCCTCTCTTAGTTGTACTAAACACCCTGTTTCACACAGACTATGGTCAAACCAAGCTTTTGGCTGTTTGTGAGTTGTGTGTGTTTATGTGAGAAATGTTTGTGCGTTTTATGTACATATCAGCTTTGTTCCGTTTAAGGTTCCGTATTGAGAGTGTAAGTGTGTGTGTGTGTGTGTGTGTGTGTGTGTGTGTGTGTGTGGCAGCACTTGGCGGACGCTCACAGGTAGCAGACATCCTGAAAACACAATGAATCCTGGGATTCTGCCTCAGCCGAACTCTGAGAGGTCACCTGCAAAGGGAGTTGGAGGACAGAGGGAGCGATACATAAGAAGGAGAGAGGGACAGAGAAGAAAAGACGACCCGTTAGGAGTTATAAATAAACCGGGCCTCTGAGTGGGGCTTCTCATCTTCTCGGTTTGTCAAACATGCCCCTCCCCTTCAAACAAGGCTTCTCCCTCAGGGCCTATTGTCAAACTTCCTGCGTCCTGTTGCACCGCCTGGCTTCTCTTGGCTTCAGTATGAAGGCATCATTCACAGTTGTGTGGTAAATCAAGGTGCTTGAACACATACACACGGTGTTTTGCATCATGCAGCTCAATACAGTAAAAATCGTTACGATGTGTCCTTCAGTGTGTGTCTGGAGTGAAGCATATCTTTCGTTGTAAAGTTTAGTGTCCTCATCAGCTGCACTCGTGTGCCCCGGATCATGGCAAGCAAACACCGCTACCAACATGCATCACTCTCTGGCATTTGCTGTATAGAAATTCTGGGTGGCAATTCATTCAGAGAAATGGATCTGATTGAAGAGTTTTATCTGTGTTTTCTCTGTTTACCTTTAATATTATAAGGGCTGCAAACTTTTAATATGCAAACTTTGTCTAGAAGAAGAAGAAAAGTCACTTATTTATAACGTGTGTTGCCATTTTCATGGTACACCCACACACTGACGTGACAGCAGCATTCAGCTTCACGGAGGATTAAATTTACCTCCCACTAAAGCATCTTTATGTTCTCTCTCTTGTTTTTCTCCCAGAATTCCTATAGTTGAAGGCTGTTCTCCAATAAGCAAGAGGCACTGGTTCTTCCACCATGACAACCACATACCCGTTACCTCAAAACACGAGCTAGAAGGAACAGGAGGAGGAAGTTGGAGTGAAGTAAAACATTTGACAGAGTGAAAGGGGGAGATAAGGCGTTTGGAGGAGGAGCGTGGAAGAGGTGCTGAAGGTGAGAAAAGGAGGAAGCACCACGAAAAGCAGTGATAGAAAAGAAAAGTAGACACAAAGAGAAAATTGGAGGAGCAACAAACTAAAGTGCCACATCACACTGTTGAAAAAAAAATCACAATCCAGGATTTTGAACTCAGCCTATCAGAGTACAGCTCAACGAAATGCATGCTTACTCATAAATAGTGTTGTCAGATAGCCTTGTCTAACTCCATGCTGTTTGCATACCGTGTACATGTCATGTCCTCTGGTCCATCATGGCCTTTTTATGTTGCAACATCCTAAAACTTTCTCTTTTATCCCCCTATCAAAGCCATTATTTTTTAAATTTCCGTATTGTTGCTCTACATCTCTCCACCAGTCCACTGTGTGAAACCTCTTGGCTCCTTCCTACGCAGACACCAATGCAACAAGGATTATTCTGTCCTGTATTGCACACTAAGAGTGCAACACAGAAACATATGCACACACAGATGTCCACGCTCACTATTTTACCCAAACCATTTGGATAAATAATAATGACACCAAACAGAACACTACAGAAACTGATCAAAAACAAAGCTGGAAAAAAAATGACGAGCTTCGTTGCTAAATTTATTAGATTACTACAAGTTGGTTAAGTATATCAGGTATCCAATCCAATCAGTTGATTTGGAGTGCAGTCCTGGCTATTGATAGTTATTGATCAGTATGTGCACAGGTCAATACAAAATAAAGTCACAATGCACCAAACACAGTCTGTGATCACTACAGCAACAGGACATGCAAGTCAACGCATGGCTGGTTGCTCCAGGTGACAGAACAAAAATTGCCAAGGGCAACCAACACAGGCAATAATTCGCCACAGCAACCCAAAACACAGGCCAACCAATCAACTTACAACAATGTGAGAGGAAGGGGGGGTCGGGGCTTTATCAGTCACTAGGCAACCATTGCCATAGCGATGGGGTCCTCGTGAATTATGATTGGACGGGAGGATCTTGGGTGAGGTAAGTTGCCGTTTCAGGAAAAGATCAAAACAGCAGGAAAGAAAAATAAATAAGATTGTGAAAGAAAAAAAAATGAATAAATGAAATAAAACAATATATATATTTTACACTTTTATCTTTCCTGAGTTGATTAAGTATTTTTGTGAGTAACCAAAAGCATTTTCACTATAACGTCAAGCTGTTCCTGTTAACTGAGTTAGCGATGTACCGTCAAATCTCGTTAAGCCATTTCTATCACCTGCTCTTAAACATACTGCCCCTCTGATGGTTTCATATCGTGGCACTTTGTACCTCTCACCACCTCACCTCTACATTATCGTTCTTTCTTCTCTCAGCAGTCACTCAGTATGGGCGGTTGGCATCCTTGGGCCTCTTGAGCTGCACTTTCAGTCTTTTCATGCCGATCTGGAAACCATTCATGGCCTGGATGGCAGCTTGAGCGCTGGCTGGGTTGTCAAAACTCACAAATCCTAGAAGACAGAGATAAAACACAATGACTTATTTTTGTTATCATGGTTTACATTTAGACAACAACAACATATTGTATAATCCACCCATCCGTAACGTTTTCCTTCCCCCTTGTCCTTCCCCTCAGGACCCTACTCTCCCCTTGCCCTCCCATCCTCCCCCCTCTGGTGTGTGTCTCACCAAAACATTTGCTCTGGTTGGTGGCTCGGTCCACAAACACCTTAGCAGATATGACATTGCCAAAGGGCAGGAACATCTGCAGCATCTCAGAGTCACTGAACTCCTGAGGCAAGTGGTAGATGAAGATGTTGCACCCTTCTGGACCTAACACACACATGCACACACACACATAGTTTAGCTGCAACGTGGTAAATGATCACAGGCTGTGAAAACCTGGTGATGAAGAACTTTGAAAACAGCCACTGTAGAGAGGGGCGTGGCCCCCTATCAGACAGGAAGTCACATCACCTTCTCTTTGCTGCTGTTGCTGGGGCTGCTGGTGTTGCTGGGCAACCAGCGTTGGCTGCTGGGGAAACGGCTGCCCGACCAATCCGTACGCAGTCGGGTATGCCGCTATTGGAAGACAAGGAGGATAACAACATCTCATTGGCTCAAAACAACAGGTGGCAACAAAAAAGTGACCAATAGAGTCATTTCCTTGGGACTGAAATGTCTCCCGTTGAAGGTGAAAACTATTAACTGTAACAACAAAGAGGAGCGAGTCGACTAAACAAAGACACGGTTGATTTCAGGCTGGTGAGCACACATTACATCATCTCTTTGGTCTGTGGTTATGGACCATGTTTATGGATGGTGTCTGGGTGAAATCAGATAAATCATACAATTAATTACCCTTGAGGGTTTTTTTTTATCCTTGAAAGCTGAGGGCAAAGACGTTGCTCCACTGTCATCTTAATTTAACCTTCAATCTGCAGTGTGTGTTGCTTTGAATAAATGTTTGTGTGATGGAAATCTTTACTGAATAACATTCAACTTGTACACCAACAGATTCCCTAATGACACTAAGGGATTTTTCAAACCAGCATATGAACCAAAAACCTACATGTTTACCAATAAAAGTGCCTCTTAATATTTTGAGAATGTTTTTAGTAGGAAGAGAAGTGATCCATTATTGATGTAGCGGAAGAATAACATAGAAATACTCCAGATTCTAAAAATTTAAAGCCACCTAATGTTTTAATTGGTCCAAACACAAACCTGTGTAGTGCTGCATGCCGGCGTAGGCTTGCTGAAGAGGATCCAAAGCTGCTGCAGGACTCTGGGCTGGAAAATATGAAATAAAAGCAGTGATGACAAAAGAAATAAATGATATCATAATGAGTTGAGTCATTAAATAACAGTCTTCTACGTCTATACACGCATTACAATGGATCATAATACCTTGATATGGATGAACTCCATTGGTGTATAGTGTTTCTGTTTGTTGCCCATTTGTGGGAGCTTGAACGTTGCTGTAACCATTCACTCCAATCGGTGGAGGAATAGCTGGTACAGGTGTGGCTGCAATAGTTGGTGGAGTGTTTGTACCTGTAGAAATAGATCACATCATAATAAGTAGTCTGTATAACTGGATCTTTTAAGTGTTGACCACTTAATCCGCAAATGACTGGATGTACTGAACACTATTTAAGTATAATTTTTGCCTAATGTTGGCAAAAATTCAGCAAAAATGGTAAAAACTGGAAACGTTCAACTATTGCATGCTTGTTTTGATGATCAGAAATACAAAAAAGGTCTCTAAGCCTTAACTGAAACACTTTCATGTTCTGTTTAGTAAAATTTAAAAAAGCTAAGAACTACATTATACCCCACTGTGCAAATCACAACACCTCTGCCACAAATGAGGTGAGTTTTTGAGTATGTAGGGCGTGTGCCAGTGAGATTACCCGAGGATGGCGTGATGGGCGTAATATGTGTAGCGATTATTCCGTTGGCGTTGAGTGCCGCCATCTGCTGCATCTGTACGGCAGCAACTGTTGCCACAGGAGACAAGTACGCAGACTGGGCAACCAGGGCCTGCTGTTGGACAAGCTGCAGGCGAGGGAGGAAATAGACAGAGGAAGGGAATGGTGGAAAAGAAGGGGGTTAAATTGATATGGGAAAAAGAGAACAAGAGAGAACAGAAGAAGAAAAATGGGAGGAAGGGCCAGGGAAAGGGAGTGATGGAGGAACAGATGAATAGAGATCTAATTACAAGGCCATTATGTCCCAAGTCAGTGAGTTAATGGTTGTGTGTTGCGGGAAAGCTAATGCTAGATGACGTATGTTCTGTTGTCTGGGTAATAACATTAGTTCCAATTAGACCACTGATAGCCTCTTCAAACTTATTACATCCTTTCATAAGCACAGCACCCCCCCCACCCCCCCGACTTGATGTGTATGTGTGAGTGTAAAACAGTGAGCACTTGTGTGTTTGCGCTTGCCTGTGCATTGACCGCCTGTGTGTAGGCATTGTAGGCAGGGAAGTTGAGGGTCATGGGGCTGAAGATGCCAAGCTGGGAGGCCACCTGCTGCATCCTCCTCAGCCCCCGCTCCTTCTCCGTGTCAGCAAACTTCACCACCAGGCTGGATGACGCTCCCTGTGAGCAGACAGAGATGAGGACCGGGATAAGTTATGTTTTAACTGGTACTTTTTACTCCATCGAACTGACTGGATACAGATATGTGTGTAGTTTCTGTGCTACTTTCATGTGTAATCAAATGCGTGCTACTCACAGGCATCGTGCGGCTCCCGTGCAAACTGTTGATGGCAGCTTGGGCTTCGGCGTGTCCTTGGAATTTGACAAAAGCACATCCTGCAACAGAACAAAGGCGTTAAAGTAGAAAGTAATCCTAAATGTAAAACAGTAGCTTTTGGTATCTTGTTTTCTGTCAGCTTATGCACGTGTACTTGATGTATTTTACCTTTGCTTGTCCCATCTGGTCCTCTCAAAACAGTACACTCCTCTATGCTGCCAAAGGGCTCAAACAGCCTTCTGACATCCTCATCGCTTTGCTGCTTTCCCAGCATGCCAACAAACAATTTCCTGTCCTCTATGTGGAAGAAATAAAAGAAGGAAGATCAACTTTAACTCTACCTAAACTTGTAACATCTATGTAACACCAGTAAATGTCAGAGCTGTATGAATAACTTCTTATATTTTATTTTAATTGCTTTTTGTTGAATTATTGTTGTCTGTACTTTATATGTTGTCTGTTTAAAACAGGTCTCTCTTGTATATGATGCCCCGAGAGTCAGTGAGACTAACATGCATAAATAAAGGTTGAATGAATGAGTAGCTGTTTATGGAAGCAAATAATTTTGTCCACCAGGGGGCAGTGTTGGCTGGTGTGTGATCTGAGAGAGTATTTAGTAACAGCAAGAAGTCTGCCAAGCACCCTGCTGACTGCTACCATCTCTGTCTGATCCAGCTTGACACCTTCGATTTGTCACACTCTGTCTGTGGGCGGACAGATTTTAGTTCAAGCGTAGACTTTTGCGCAAAGTGAGGACAATTTAAAACCCTTTAATATTTGACAAAAATGTACAAAGAGTTAAGTTTTTATGGTAAAAGCTACAGTAAAGAGGAAAGCTTTTTGCTAATCCACTCAGTCACCTGTCTGCATGTGTGTTTCAGTGTTTGTGTGCACTTGCATGACTCACCTCCTCGGCCCTCACTGTCAGCTGGTTTCACCTGGATGGGTCGATTCATCTAAGGAACAAAAAATAAATAAAATCAACAAATATGCTCAGGTTGGAAAAGTCTTGGTGTCACTCTCACTTTACTTTCAGTAAACACACTCAGGCCAGTCTACAGAGATATATTGTGTTTTTCCAAGAAAAAGGTGTGTTTATATGGAAAACAGAATTAGCAAGATGACAACATTTAAATGTCAGGCTTTTGGGAGATATTTAGTAATCTAAACAACTGTCTGAGCATTCAAAAATGTTGGATTTTCACCAAAATATTGTAGGTAAGTAGCCTGTGAATAAAAAAAGAAGTTATTTTAGTCACTGATTCATGGAAGTGTCCACATTATTGTCTGATTTGTCAGACTACTATAGCCTTGGTATCTTTGATTTCACACACGCTCACAGAAGGATTGAGAAGTGGCGAGATTAGGAATGCAGGCTAGCTGATCTGGATTACAGAAGAAGTGAGGATTAGATGAGGGAGGAGAGGAGGCTGAAAGACAAGAGTAAAAAAAATGGGGGGAGGCATGGAAGCGATAATGTTGCAGAGCACTTAAAAGCAACGGGCAGTCAACTAAAAATAAAATGGGATGAAGAAAACAAGTCGAGGGAAAATCCTGGGGGACCCCAGCTGGCTTTGATCGCCTGAAAGGGCAGGTGGAAGGCCAAGAGGAACCTGGGGAGTAAATGGAAACTCTGAAAAAAAAAAGAAATATTACATGAAAAGTGAGACAGAGAAAGGCCAAAACTGATGGTATGAAAGAAGAGCTGCCCCTGAGAGATTGTTCAAAAAGAATTGAAAGAGGAAAAGGAAGGAGGAGAGACATGGTGGGATTCAATCGTGACTTGCTTTGTCTAAAAAATCCTACAGCTACAGGGATGAATGAAAATTAAATGATTATTGCAAACACACAGTCTGAACCTCCTTTTGTAGGCTCTGTAGGTTACGCTCATTCATACACTAAGATACATAAAACAATGAAAGCATACTGCACACACACACATACACACACAATGCTTAGTCATACCACTGAGGCAAATAGACAGTGTGTTGATGCCAGGGGCCTTGGGTGGGGGAGGAGAAGAGCTACAGAATGATGGCTGCAAAACGAGGGAAGAAGTGCAAAAAGAAGAAAGAGGACGGCTCTAGAGGAGGGATGGAGGCAGGAGGATGATTGAAGGGGAAATCTCAGTTATGCACAATGAATAGAAAAAATGTTGGCGTCTAGGGAAGAAAATTAATTTTTCAAAATGTTGAAAAAAACCTATCCTTTGCAAATCACCAGCATAAACTTCACCGATCAGTGCGTCGCTGTCAGTAAAAATATGATCTACAGATGTCTATAGATGGCGTGAACATTCGATCCAAGAGGAGTTGTTTAGATATGGGAAACAAAATTAAAAGGGGACAGTCCAAGAGGAGGCAGAGGCCGGACAGGGAAGGGATGAGAAGGAGAAATGGATAAAGGTCCCAATGGGGTGTTAAGGCAATGTAATGAAGCTGGTAATTGACGAGAGGACAGAGCAGGGAGAGACAGATCCATGCGTTTGATTAATCAGCTCTTAGCTGTCACCACAAAGCTATTGATCCGATGCAAGGCCGTCTCGCACACTGAAGACACCGACACACACAGGCGCATAAACATCTGCACACACTTCCCCATAAGGTACTCAAACAGAGTCGAGCAGAGAGGGGAAGGACGTATGTTTTTAACCCTAACGTCTTTATCGATACGAGCTGTCTGTATGAACATAAACGCAGAAAAAAACACACATTTCAGCCAAACAGTCCCTCCATCCATCCATCATATCCTTTGTCCTAATGTTACTGCTGTCCATCCATCTTGCCCTACCAGCTCATTGATCAGCCCCGTCTTGTCCATTGATTTGGGATTCTGTTGTAGAGCGAGGCTGATTGCCGCAAGATTTGTGTCCACTAACCTTTTCTCTAACCTTGTGTCAATCTGTCACTATTTCAGTTTCTTTCACCATTAAGCCAACCTAAACGCAACGCTGTTTATGTAAAAAAAAACAAAAAACTTGTAATTTCAAACTATCGGTCTGAGCATCTAAAGCTTCGGAATACGAATGTTAGAATTTAATGCATTGAGAAAGACAGGAGGGAGAACCCAAGAAGAAGCAGCAGGTGAAGAGAACGCACAGCACAATAGCATCGGAAAATTGGCATGGCAACCAGCACGTTGCCATGGCAATCGTATGACGGCTCAACGGGTAGGTAAACAGGGATGCTGGTTGCCAAGGGCGACTGCTGTGCTCTTTGAGTAAACAAAGAATTACTGCTGGAGAACGGTTTGCTGGCTTTGTACTCCAATCTAGAAAATCCCACCCCGGCACAGTTTCTCAGTGATCAGGAGTACGAGCGCCGAGCGCGAGAAACATTTGCATGGGAAGAAGGAAATAAACAAGGCAGGAAATTTATGAGGATAATGAAAAGATGAAAGCCGGCACTGCAGGAGGAAATAAGCACGAGGGAGAGGGTGAGGGAACAAAATCTATATGTTGTGGGCATTAAAACTCCCACGAGCCTGGGAGAAAATACAAACAGAGTATAGAGTTACTCTTACGTCAGGCTGTACCTCAGTCTCTCTCTATCTAACACACAAGAGTAACCCGCACACCCCGTTCATGTCAAATTATCCTCTAATTACTCACGTTCCAGTTAGGAGTTAATTAACAGTAACCATCTGCAAACGTGAACATGTAAGACGAGCAAGCTTCAAACTGGATCAGTCTGGGCCACGCTGATGCATACTAAGAAGCCCTCGCTGAGTTTCTGGAGTCCTGAGGAAGGTGAACATGAGGCAATGCTCGAGGGCACATATGTGGTACATGATGGGAGCGCTCACACTCAGCGGAATCACGTTAACGCATGACCAACTCCTGCATGCAAACGTGGGTCCATTTGCATACTGAAACACACGGTTATACACGGCACCAACCCCCCCCCCCCCACACACACACACAAATCATCTGCCCTTTTGCTCACACAGAAACAAACACGTACTACACACTTACAGTTAATCGCACTCCCTGCAGTAACACAGGGAGGATTGTACCGGGGTTAGAGGATATTAAATCCTCGGATTATCCAATCAAATCTTATTTTGCACCCTCCCCCACCCACATAAAATCAGCGGAGCAAACCATTGCACCGTGGTGTGAGAGTCGGGTGATGCGCACGTTGAAATATTTGCAAAACAAGAAATCATGCAAAGAAAAATTAATGATTAAACTTTTCTTTCTTTTTTTTTTTTTGATTAACAAAAACTGATGGGAGTGTTTTCCACAGCAAGAACAAAATGTTAATAGAGAATAAAAATCTGACAACACACAGCAGAACAAACGTGCGTGAAATGACGCAAACTCTTCACACACACACACAGACGTTCACACATCTTTCGCCCTCTTCCAGTTTCCCTCTGGAGCGCTTCATCCTTGCAGTTTCAGATGTCCGTTTTCCAAAGTGCTTAAGGACTAAAAACTATTTTTATCCCTTCTCCATGGTCTAGCTTTATGTCTGCCTCTTCCCCTCTCATGGATTTCCCTTCTACTCTTTAATCTCTCTATATTCTGCCTGATAATGTGGCCATCACAGTTTCTATTTGATCTTCTTTTGGCTTTTCGTGATCGTCTTCTTTAGCTTCTACCATCCATCCGTTTTATACATGTTTTGAATGCTTACAAATTCAGCTTCAGTTTACCAAACGTTTATGCTGATCAGGCAAATTCAAAACTGAGATCTTATTTTAAAGTATTTGATTCATAAATGTACCCTGTAAATAACACTTTTTTATATAAAACTATACTTTATTTAACAAAATGTAAATGTAATGTGCATGTGTTCATGGTGTGATTTTACTTCTAATTCTAACATTTATTTCTAATATTTTCAAATTGAATGGCTTGATAATTATGTGTCCACGGTTTGCTGGTGTTTTAAAAGGGCGACGATGGGCAAAAACAATAGCAGCAATGTGATGATCTTACAGGAATTTTTATTTCACTCTGTCAGATTGGAGTTGAATTGTTTGCAGCAGGAACTGAATCCGTTAATCCAGCAGCCGAACATGTGCAGAGCAGACTTTCTGTCAAAACATTCATCCTTTCCAACACTGTGCAAACTATAAACACATAAAATTATTACAATGTGTAACGGTGGTGTTATTCCAGCTAATGGTGCTTGTTTCAAGTCCTTTACCTTGACATAACCTAGAAAATAAATAAATTAATTAAATGTTCTGTATGAGCTGATAACCTTTAACTTTTATAATTAGTCTACATGTGTTGAAATGTCAGTGACCGTCATTTAAATTCCAACTTATGGTTATATTTTGTCATCACGCAGCAGTGTCGCGTGTCTTATGTAATGCGTATGTTTTGGCCTTACAGAATGATTTAAACTTCATCTCTTTGTCCGCTGATTAAACAGACTGTGTTTCTCGCTCACAGCTGGATGATTACACTAAAATGGGAGGAACCCACGATGAGTAGAAAGGTGAAGCAGCAGAGAAGCTCCACCCCTCCGTGCCCACCATTTCTCTTTACCGCCACATTATGCCTTGCATCCCTCAGGTTGCCTAGCAACATAGCATCCTGCTTAGCTCCGTTGCCTAGTAACGGGAGCCTGCGACCGAAATACAAGCTCCCGTGCGGCCCATCCCCCTCGCTCGCGTCTTTCGCTGCTCTGTCACTGCCGCTCCATTCTTCACACCTGAGAAGCCTGCCCTCCATCTCCTCCGCTCCACGTTCGTTGCCTGATGATTTGCAACAAATTCTCTTTCCTCACACCGTCTTCTTCCTCTCATCCTCCTTCATAATAATGACATCAAACCACGCATGAAGTGGGACCACCCGCCCTGTTGATCCCTAGAATATTGTGCTGTTTTTGTCAAACCCCAACGAGAACATTTTCTCGCAGCAGCGGAGCACTCACTGAAATTTGATCCTTTGGATTTAGTTGGGCATAATCCAGCGGCACTATAGCGGATAACTTCTAGA